CAACCCAACATCAGTAAATTTATGCATCTATCTTCCCATTAATCCTCCTAAAATCGTCTCTTTCGTTGTGGTGACATAAATGCACTGACAAAACACCAGTAATGATTGAATTTGATTCGGTTTGTGTCCAAATAAGTAGCAAATGCTGCATCATAAAAGTATATTCACATACAAATATACAAAATCAAATGACAACAATATGTTCTTATAGCTAAATTTAAAAAAATACACTTTTTTATTAATAATGCCTCATATTTTATTAGAAGATCATATGTTTTCTATGTGAAATCTTAATCTACAAAGCAACTTGGAACTATAGCTGTGAAATAAATGTAGTGGAGTAAGAAGTACAAATTTCCCTCTGAAATGTAAGGGAATAGAAGTATATATACTAACGTAGCATCAAATGGAAATACTGAAGTAAAGTACCTTTGAATTGTACTTAAAGGTCCAGTGTGTAAGATTTAGTGGCATCTAGCAGTGAAGTTGTAGATTTCAACTATCTGAACACTGTAGAAACACGGCAGATCAACATTGCTGCCTCCGTGGAGACTGAAGATAGAAACAGCTTATTTTAAGGCAATAAAAACACAATAATTCCTGTATTCAGGTGATGATACAGTTATGAAAACAAAGTTATGCATGTCATATTCCATTTCTGCCAATAAATCCTCCTAAATGTTACACACTTGACCTTCTAACTACTTGTGCTGCTGTACAGTCACATTACAATTCAGTCCTACAAATATTATTGTATATGCTCCATCTCCCATTGAGGCCTGAACAGAAAGACAAATTCAAGCATGTGTTTCCTGTTTCAGTGTGATCAAAAGTGCAATGTTACTTTTGTTTTGTTCAACCTTGACCTTGTGGTTGTGCTCGGTTGGCCTCGATGGTTGGCCAGTAGTGTTTGGAAGTCACATTACAAGAGACTGTAGCATTTCTCTCACAGTTTGTTTACACTTTCTGATCACTCTGGTCAATTAATTTCCTTACCCACGTCAGAATTGGGGCATCACATCCTTTTTCTGAGCTTAGTGTGTGGCACCTTTTTAGTAGGAAAATGTGTTACTAATAAAAAAAAAGGAGTTATTCAAGTGTCTCAGTGAGCCAGCATGCACAATACCAGGACCATGTAATTGAAGCAGCTAAATTAAATTAAGCCATTATTCATTGTAGGATTTACACCTGTGCTTTTCCTACTGTGACATATCAAAATGTCGCAGTCATGAAGGGGTGATTTGTCCCTTCTTAACAAAAGCTGTGTTGCAGTCCAGTTCAGTTTGTTACACATTAGATCCGTCTTTTCGTTACCCCTCTGTTGAGATTCCAAACGAACCGAGCCAGAACAAACAAAAGTGAAGTTGCAAAACAAAAGCTAACCAGAGAGTCGGGGGATATTGCCAATCAAGTACAGTCCGTATATAACCATACAGTCCTGAACAGGGTTTTAATTGGGCAGATTGGGTGAACACACCTGTGCTGGTGAACCATGACTGTGCTCTGGCTTTAACTAGTTTACATTCCACCATTGTAAAACACAGTCAGTAATTTGTCAGCTCCAGGTCTCTTTGCACTGTTAAACTTCAGAGCTGTCGCTTTCCCTCGCCGGCCGGGAAGCCTCTTCTTTCTGTCCCTTTAATCCCCGGCGGCCGGCTTGTGACCGTGTAGCGTGGCGTTTCTGCGGTGTGTGCGGTCTGGGAGCCAATCATCTCCAGCCATCATGGCACAGACACGCAGGACTGGACAGAGCAATGGGCCAGTGCCCCTTCGCTGTCCAGTGTGTGTGTGTGTG